TGAACAGCCCTACGAGACACTTTGAGTACCGGATCTTACTGTTCGGTCTGACTAATGCCCTGGCTGTCTTCAGGTCCTGGTTAATGATGTGTTGAAAGACATGGATATTTGTCTTTGTGTATCTCTCTAATATTTAGATTTTTTCCCCATCCTTGCAGACGCATACTCAACATGTACGCCAGGTGCAACAAGAACTGCTGGAGAACCAACTTTATGTCAAGGGGGAGAAGAACGTTTTCCACACCTAGTCGATTCAGTTCCTGGGCTTCATTACTTTAGTGGGAGAGATCCAGGCAGATCTCTGTAAAATAAGGGCTGTTGCTGAGTGGCCAACCCCTGACTCTCGTAAAGCTCTGCAGCAGTTCTTGGGGTTTGCCAATTTTTTACCAGTGATTTATCAAGAACTTTGGTCAGACTGCTGAACCTTTAACAGCTCTCACCTTATTCAACGTATGGTTCAAATGAAATAGTGATGCACAGAAGGCCTTTAATAAACTAAAGTCCAGTTTCATATCTGCTCCTATTTTGTCCATTCCAGATCCTGAACAGCAATTTATTGTTGAGGTGGACTCTTCTGATGTTGAGGTAGGTGGAGTCCTATTTCAGTTCTAATTCATGCATGGATGGGAAGAGGCATCCCTTTGCCCTCTTTTCCCACCGTCTAAGCCCCTTGGAACGAAATTACGGTGTAGGTAACCAAGAGATGTTGGCAGTCAGGCTGACTGGGGGACTGGCATTACTGGCTAGAAGGGGCAGCCCAAGCTTTCCTGGTCAGGACAAATCACAAGAATCTTAAATATATTAATTCGGCAAGGAGGCTGACCCCTCGACAGGCTCGCTGGGCCCTCTTCTGTGGCTGCTTTAAATTTATCCTGTCATTCAGACCTGGGACCAAGAATATTAAGCCTGATGACCTCTTCCTTCCGGCCACACAGAAGATCCCAGTACCAGGTAGGGTTACAGCAGGCCGTCAGTTTGTTCCAACAAGACTTCGCTAAGAGGTCATCCAATGGGGACACTCATCCAGGCTAGCTTGTCACCCAGGAGTTTGGAGATCGCTGGCTGTCATTCACCAACAATTCTGGTGGCCATTCATGGCCAAGGACGCCAGGCAGTTTGTGGTGGCCTGCTCGAATTTGTGCCCAAAACAAGACATCTAATGCACCTTACATTGATATACCATACCCATCCCTTCCTGCCTCTGGTCATTTTGTCACTGGCCTCCTACAATCTAAAAGCAACACCATCACTATCACATCCATGCCATAGCGCACACTCTACCGGGAAAAGGTTGTAAGGATTTTCTTTCTCCAATTTTTTTTTGCTGTTTATTTCCTGGCTGTTTTTTTTTCCTGTGTGCAGAACACTTCTGACCAAGAGACTTCGTTATTTTTCCTCTCAAATTTTTGCTTGTTTTTTTTTTTATTTTTCATTTTTTTGAGAACTCTTTCTGTGCCATAGAAGTCCCTAAAGACTTTCTGTTTGTACATTTTGGATTTTTTTAGCTGGAATTTGTGGCCCTCTTTCTTTTTGAAATAAAATAAACTGCCTCTAAGTTGAACCTGCAATTGTGTCTAGTCCCATACCTTACATGAAATGCAATGTGGAAAACTTTCACCATGTATATTTTGCCAATGATCTTAAGACTAATAAAACAAGGAAATGAAATGCCAATGGATGGGGAACTTCAAAGCTACGTGGAAAACTTCCACTGTGGACAAATGTATGGAAAACGCCACAGTAGTTGAACCTTCCCATGGCCCCGAGAGGATCATCACCAGGGACACAACACTCCAATGTGCCCCCTGGCCCTAACTTACCTGTGAAGCACATAAAAGCTTATTTATATTTTTTGAGGAGAGAGAAGGGTGGAGCACAACACTTTATGCAAAGCCTACACACAAAATTATGTTTTGGCTGTAACACTAGCGTGTGAGGAAACCGGCTCAGCTTGAAGATTATAAAATCTTGCGAATGTATTAGGTGTCGCCCAACCCGTAGCTCTACAGATGTTTGCTTGAGAGGCGGTGTGTGCTAATGCTCAAGAGGAGGCGAAACTCGTTTTTGAGTGCGCTCTCACCCCCAGGGGACATGGCTCATTCTGGCATTGATAAGCGAGATTGACGGCATCCACCATCAATTATACAACCACACCATACATGTAGGTTCCTGATGGTGCCCTGAAGGTTCTCTCTCAAAGGGATCTGCCAGGGAGAGGCTGTTGTGAGAAGAGAGAGTTCTGATATTCAGGTCTGGTTGGGCCAGAGAGGTGCAGCTGACAAGACCTGCCCATTGTCCTCTCTGGCCTTGTCCCTGAGTCCAGCTGTGGGCCAGTGAGTCCATGCTAAGAGGGGCTTCGGTCAGGCAGTAAAATCATTGGCAATGGGGGTCTCAGAAAAAGCAAACAGCTGAACTGTACCAGAGTGGAGCATCTATTCTCCCGAGTGTGTAAGCTGCCGTGAGAGCACTGGCTCGAGGGCAAGTTTGGCTTTTTCTTGGTTCACTCAGAACTCTAACAAGCCGAGATAATCAAGCCTCCTGTCCCTGTGTATAGCCAATTGATCCCAAAAGTAAGCTATAATCAGCCAGTCATCAAAATAGTATGAGTATGCGGATGCCCACGAGCCGAAGGGGTGCTAGGACACCCTTCGCAAGCTTGGTAAAAACACACAGAGAGGGGGAGAGCCTGAAGGTTTGGACATGTACTGTCATGCTCGACCTTCGAACACAAACCACATAAACTGCCAGTGGCATGGAAGAATAGGGACATGAAAATATACATGCTTCAGGTCCATCGCTTCAAACCAATCCTGAAGATGGACGCATCGGTGGATGCGCTTATGTGTGAGCATTTTGAACGCCAGGTTGTGAAGATAGCGGTTGAAAACTTGCAGATCTAGGATTGGTCATGACCCACCACTATTTTTGGGTACTATAAAGTATGAGCTCTAAAACCTGCTCCTCATTTTGGCTGGAGGGAGTGGCTTGATTGCATCTTTCGCCAGGTGCCAAGACAGGGGCAGACCCAGGGTTGACCCTGGTGTAATGCATACCCCCTTAAACTTGGGGAGACATTTGTTAAACTGAATCGCATAGCTGAGGCTAAATGTCCAAATGAGCCACTGTTACTGGCTGGGCAGCACTAAACAGGCTGGCAGAGCCAGTGCAAGTGCCATCATCGGCACAATAGCTGACATACCAGTGGTGGGGCAGCACGGAATGGGACTTCTCACCCTGGGAAGTGATGTGTCTTGACGAAGAGCAGAAAACAAGAGATTCACTTTTCATTACAAGACCCCGTGGAGAGGCTGGGAGAGTGACAGAAAGGAGCTTGTTCTCTGCCACTCTCTGCGCCTTTGGCGAAGAGCACCAATTCTGCAAGATGGAAGGCATTGTGTCCCATGCTGGCAGTGTTTGGGCTTTCAAACCCGGAGAGAGGAGAAATAGCTCTTTTATTGAAAATTTGATAACCACTGGCCTCTACTGTCTCCTCTACTCCTGATGCCCTTTCTGAAGATAACTGTGCGGTCCATTTACAGTTCGTCTGCTGGGTGCTTAATGCTGACGACTGATCTTTCACTGAGGAGTACTCCTAGGTGAACTCACCCATGATGTCGACAAACAGGCTAGCCTGATATATGGGTGCTATAAGAAAGCAAACTTGGTCATGGTCTCGCATATCTGTCAGGTTTTGTCAGCTGTGCTATTTCTGGGTCACTAGCATGGCCCTCTCCCTTCCCAGGGCAGGCGCAGTTGACTGTAGTTCTTAGAATATAGTCGATTGCGATTCATAGCTCATGCCTTAAACCTGGGTCGGAACAACCCTTGGCAGCTGGGCCAAGGTTCGAGCCACAGCTGGGTCAGTTGGCAGAAAAGTGGAGTTTGCATGTTCTCCCTGTGTTTGTATGGGTTTCCTCAGGTTTCCCCCACTAGTCTAAAGACATGCACTATAGGTGAAAATGCACTATAGGTAGGCTAAATTGTCCATAGTGTATGTGTGTAAATAAGTGTGTATGAATGTTTCCCAGTGATGGATTGCAGCTGGAAGGACAGCCGCTGTTTAAAACATTTGCTGGATAAGTTGGCAGTTCATTCTGCTGTGGCGACCCCAGGTTAATGATGGGACCAAGCCGAAAAGAAAATTAATGAATATAACCAATTTCTGGGGACGACAGGGGTGGTTCATCCTTTTGCAAAAGCTAGCCATAATATTAGCAGCGCAACAGGCATGCCATGGCAGTGATGACATGAACGCATTGCTCTTTTAGGAGAATTTGCTCTCTAATTGTAAGATTCCCCTATATTAGGCACCAGATTCAGCAAAGTTCAGCAGGTCGACCCGGAGACATGAGAAGAGACCAAACTGTAGTTAGAATGGTTTATTCTGCAAGCCTGACAAATACAGGATGGGCAGGGACATATATACATAGTGGGCTGACCTTTAAAAGTTATACAGAAGAAGGAAGACACTCTTAATATGGGCATGTTATACAAACAGAGTAAAGAAGAAATGTATATATAGCGGGGACTTTCCAGTGTGGGAGCTGTCTGCAAGACCGAAACCAGACGTTGACCTTCAGACCTCCGATGCACACACACACAAAAAACCACAGACACTTCTGCTTCTCATGGAAGCACACTTAAAAGAGGACAAAATGTTCTCTCAGTCCCCTCTTTTAGGCCAAAGGCCTAACACAGAGGAATCTTATCATATCGTTGACCCATCATACTGTCCATTGTGGCATAGATTCGATTCATTAAACATTGCAAGAGAAAAGGACCACAACAACAAACAAGAAGGAAAATAATACATACAGGAATTATCATAGTAAGGAAAGGAGTTACCCAGCCGAACAGACCCATCATCTAACCCCAAGTTGTGTCGGGAACATAATCTGAAGTCATGGCAATTTTTAACCCTTGGAGAGTAGACATAGCAGTACTCATTTACATACCTCCCCCTGGGATGCTGTTAAGAGATCTAGAGCCATTCTATTTTGCAAAACCATGGTACGTAGATTACCCAGCTCCTTATTCTGGGCCTCATTAATTATTTTTGAGGCATTCAGGAATAGGCCCATGCGATAGTCCAGGGTCTCAATTCTTAGTAGAGCTTTTCCCACACCTATTTGCGGAAATAGAGCCAATACCACTTTGTTACCAGTGGTCCATAATTTAAAATCCTCGGGCACGTCAGTACCCCATACAGAGTCATGGGGCTTCATTTCAGGGACACTGCGTTTAACTCTTCGCTGCGCTGACAGGACCTGGGCTGTCACAATAAAAGTGTGATCAGTCACATGCACAGGGGCACACTGCCCCGTCCAGTTGGCCGGTAGGGACATGTAGGCGTTTTTTCCACACAACCACCACCCACCCTGGACCACATAAGTGCCGTTTGAGGGTCCTGACACATAAACTGGGGCCCCTTCTCCCGAGGAGGCAATTTGTTGACAGTTAACAGTGCTTCCCATGAAATGAGAGCCCATGGTCTGGTTATAACACACAGGGTGTGTAATAGAATGGTTAATAAAAACCTTGTGGCTAATAGGTGCGGGTTTAGCGTGGCCAAATTTTACCCAAAATAGAGCATCACATGTACCATTTCCAATGCCAATCCGGTATGGATCGTAGTCATCGACAATTATATATGGGTCCTGGTACCCTGATCCTGCAAAACTGGCAAAACATTTAGCAGAGGTCTTATTCATGGGTTTGGCATAAAGAGGGGTTTGTTTGGCTGAATGAGGCATAACAGAACATACATAACAACCAGATACATTATATGACCTAGCTAAAACTCATTTACATATTGATACCACATATTATTTCAATTGGATTGTCAGCCCCATCCTCTGCCCATCCAAATTCATGATCATGTGTCCAGCGTTTCAGCCTGGCTGCATTAGCTTGAGCAACAAGAAAGAGAAACAGTCCCAATGTCCATAGCCACTTCATGCTGATCCTTCTAGTAGTTATGCTGCGTGGAGGTGCTAGCTGATGTGGGGGCCCCCAAAATCTGTAAAACAAAGAGAGTCTGCAGACAGAATATCATAGTACAAAACTTATACATTTTTATTATTCAATAGGTGCTCGTTTTATCCTGGTTGCATGGATCCACTGTGGAGAAGAGGAGGTTAAAACGGCGGTTCTGGTTACAGCCACGACATCCGTCGGGGGCCATATTTGGGGTCCCCCAGTTCTGTGCTCATTTTATTGAACTGTCTAATCATTACTCTGTCACCAGCCTTAAATGGGTGTGTTGGGTCTACCGGCATCGGGGCTGAACCAGAATGTATATTAGTCCAGTATGCATGCAATGTTGTTAGTAACTGTTGTGCATATTCACTCATATGAATATCCAAAGAACCATCACCCAGCGTGGTACCCTTTTGCCTCCATGGCGAAGGAAAAGGTCGTCCCATCACAGTCTCATAAGGAGATAAACCGTGAAGACTTTTGTGAGGAGACATCCTCATGTCTGCTAAAACGACAGGTAGCAAGGCGAGCCAATTTGAGTGCCCTGCATGTTGCATAGCCTTTCTTAATTTGTCCTTAATAGTCCTATTAGTTCGTTCTACTATACCAGATGATTGTGGATGGTAGGAAATATGTAGCTGCCAATTAATTTGGAGTTCTTTAGCTAGATTTTGTATTACTTTTGCAGTAAATGAGGTTCCCTTATCTGAGTCTATGGCACATGGTATACCGTATCTTATAATGATTTCTCTTGTCAAACATCTGACAACTATATTAGCATCTTCTTTACTGCATGGGAAGGCTTCAACCCATTTTGAAAATTTGTCCACAAAAACCAGTAGATATTTATTAGGACCCCTCTTTGGCAGATGTGTGAAATCTACCTGACATTCCTGAAAAGGTGTTTCAGGAAGGGGCAATTGTTGATGTTTGGCTTGAGGTTTAGTGATATTGTTTTGAGCACATATCAGACATCTATCTAGCGTATTATTGACATGGTGCTGTAAATTATAAATTATTAATGCACAAAAAGGAACTCATTGTGTCTATTACCCCTCTTCGGCCGCGGTGTGTAACACCGTGAAACTCGCGGACGAGAAAAGGAGCACATAAGGATGGGAGGCATAAACGGCCTTTACCATCTAGCATTATACCATTAGGATCAGTCGTGGCGTCACATTCAGACCAGTAAGTATGGTACTAAGTATTTAGTAAGCTGCTGTTTTAGATGTGTCAGGAGCTCCTCCTGATCATCTTTCCACGCGAGGCTGGTTTTTATACGAGTGCGTGTCTTTTTACCCTCATCTGTTTCCTCCTTAATTGTCTCTGTGTGTACTATATCATGCTTGGGATCAAGAGCAGGTATTTTTGTTGTCATTTCGTCATCGTCATAGGACAAACCCATTTTGGTTTGAAGGATAAATCGATAATCTGCCCCAATTAGTTGGCAGTGACGCGAACTGCGCAACAGCATGTCTACAAATTGCAGTGGTTTGTCCACTTCGGGCAGAAGAGATATAAGATCTTTAAGAACAGAGGGTGAAGGGGGAATTATTTCTATCCCTCGTGGTTTAGCAACCCACACCGCAGCCACATTAGAGGCTGAAGTAGTGCCCTCCGTGCTGTCGGAGGGGTCTGGTTTAGTTTTAATCATTTCTGTCAGAGACGGATAAATAGAAGGCACTGCAGGAGGAGCGCTGGCAGAGCATGAGATAGATTGCGAAGGCCCCGTATAAGGGGGTGGTGACGTCATGGTGGTTTTAGCAGCTGCAAGAGAGCCCCTCTTATCTGCCGTAAGGGCAGTATTGCTTCTGCTTTTGGGTTTGGGGACAGATTTCAAAACTTTTTTTTTGGGTGTAAAAAATGCCTTTTTTATCCCTCCATATAGAACTCATTTTATACCATGTGTCATATCCATTCATCATATATTGGTCATTCCATTCTGGATCCCCATATCAATTTGTAAGCTAACTGAAGGAAACCTGGTTCAAATGTTCCTTCCCTAGGAAAGTCTCTCCATTGAGATTGTCCCTCTGTCCACCCAGCTAAATTGGACAGCCAGGGTTCAGTGTAAAATCCCCACCCACATCTATCCATCCATTGCTTTGGACTCTCACTGGGTTCTGGTTTTGGATATCCTTGTCCCATATTGCTGAAGCTGGTGCGTAATACTTATTTACTAAAATTTATTAAATCCCCTGATTTGTGGAACCCAAATTTAATTGGGTACAACAACACAAACCCTTCTGTGCAATTTACTGTTGAAAGTAAACTTGACAGGATAACAAGTGTCAAATTAATAAATTTTCCTGATTTGTGGAACCCAAATTTAATCGGGTACGACAACACAAATCCTTCTGTGCAATTTACTGTGGAAAGTAAACTTGACAGGATGTTCTGTGCTCTAGAGCACAGACCTCTCTTGCTTGCGCAACCCAATTTTAATTAAAATCTTACGATTTCCTGAGATACACCGGAGCAGGCAGTGTGAATAAAAAATTCTCTTACCTGATCAGATGTATCCCGGACGAAGCCCCCAAGTCTGTAAGATTCCCCTATATTAGGCACCAGATTCAGCAAAGTTCAGCAGGTCGACCCGGAGACATGAGAAGAGACCAAACTGTAGTTAGAATGGTTTATTCTGCAAGCCTGACAAATACAGGATGGGCAGGGACATATATACATAGTGGGCTGACCTTTAAAAGTTATACAGAAGAAGGAAGACACTCTTAATATGGGCATGTTATACAAACAGAATAAAGAAGAAATGTATATATAGCGGGGACTTTCCAGTGTGGGAGCTGTCTGCAAGACCGAAACCAGACGTTGACCTTCAGACCTCCGATGCACACACACACAAAAAACCACAGACACTTCTGCTTCTCATGCAAGCACACTTAAAAGAGGACAAAATGTTCTCTCACTAATCAAACCACTCCTTAATGAACTGGACCAGTAAAACTCCCAGGGATGGGAGAATGGACCTTTGCTGCTCGCACTGGATCCAGAAAAAACAGCCTCCCAGTAGATGGCAGCTTTCTCTTAATCTCTCTCTTTTAAATGAAGTTGAAGGGACCCAGCAACAGGAATTTCTCAGTTGCACGTAAAGCTTCTGAAAGTGGAAATGTGCCACACAATGTGACAGCTTTATACTCAGCTGATTAGAATTGCTGCCAGCTGTGCTGGGTGCTGACAATTCATTGCCATTTCATTGGCCTGTTTTTATTACTCTTCAGATGATTGGCTTTCTGACGAAATCCCCATAGTGGAAGTTTTCTACATAGCATTGTAGTTCCCCTCCTGCAGGAGAACAGGGCTTACCCAACAGTTTCAACAATTTTGAACTCTTTTAAAGGTAGCAGAAACAACTTCAGAACACCAACTGAACTTCTCATCCAGGGCCACAACAGATGACAGATCTCAGGAATGGGCAGACAATGAAATTAGAGAACAGACAAAACAAAAGCTTTTCAAAAGGCAGAAAATCAGCATTCAATCATAAATTCTCACTTTTATCATTATCATTTCAACCCTCAATAAGTTCATAAAAATACATTGTGGAGAGGTAAGCATGATCGAACACCCAATAAAGGGGGAGAGCATGCTCATGGCCCGGCGGCTAATCAGCAGGCCAATCAGAAATAGTAAGCAACACCTGTTTAATCTAGTGATTGGGCCAGAGAGACACCAGTCTTAAGGAGAACGGGAGGAACAGTCGGGAGAGAGAGCTGAGCTACGACCACACAGTGGGAGGTGTCATTTGTTGCACGGAGCAGGGGACGCGGGGCTCACCACCGGAGGGGAAAGTGCTGAAGGGAGCCATCCCACAGAACCCGAGGGAGTCGCCGCGATCCGCCATGATGCCAGAGCCTGCATCCGTCCACCGAAGCGGGAGCGGAACAGGAGACCGGAGATGCCACCAGCCAGCCAGGAGAACCGCCGCCAGACGCCAGAAGACGGACGGGTGGATAGATTCCTCCACAGGGCTCCCAGCACGTCGTCGCATCTCTCAGCTGGTGGAGGACCGGGTGGCAGCGTGTCTGGAGAACCGAACCCCAATTTTTATTTATTTTTTTCCTCTCCCCTTTCTCGGTCTACTCTGTCTTTCCTCCTCTTTTTTTCCATCTCCTTTTCTCTCGGCCCGTCTCATATAGGTCTCGCGGGTGCTGTGGCGCCCCTGGCCTGTGATGGGAGATGGGGGTATGTGGCGAGGGGGCATGGCCGAGAGCCATGGGAACGGAGTGAGGCCACCGTGTAAGTGGATACACCTGCGGTGCGCACCTGCTTCGGATCCCACAGAAGGAGCTCTGGACGATAAAAGGAGGAACGATGGCAGAGGAAGCCGAGAGAGGACCGGGTCCGGACATATTTTACTTTTGCTTTCAGTTTGACAGCAGTCTCCGTGAGGAGCTGCCGTCCGTTTGTTTTGGTTTAGACGGCAGTCTCCATGAGGAGCTGCCGTCACTGTTATTAATAAATAATTTAAAACTGCGTCGGTTCTCTGCCTCCTTCTTCCTGGCAGCCAAAGGGCCGTGAACTTTGTTACAGTGGTGCCGAAATCCGGGGAAGAAGAATAGACCTCGCCGCTAAGATGACCACTCCGTCAACCAGTCCATTTGCGGAAGTGACCCAGGTGCTCGCGGTCCTCCACCGTGAACAGCACCAGGAGATCCTGGACATCCGGACCGAGCAGGAGGAGTGGTTCAAAGTCCTAGTGGAGGCCCAGCGCGAGGGTCGCGAGCTCGTCCGGAGCATGCTGAAGCAGGGGATCCAGCCTGCAGCAACATAAGCCACCCACCCTCCCATCACACTACACAAAATGGGGCCACTTGATGACCCGGAAGTCTTCTTGGACTTGTTTGAGAAGATGGCAGGAGCGTGTGGGTGGCCGCAGGCAGATGGGCTGGTGAGAGTCATCCCGCTGCTGTTGGGCGAAGCCCAGACCGCAGCACAGCAGCTACCGGCCGAGGATCTCCTGAATTATGCGTACCTGAAACGAGCCATACTTCAGCGGGCCGGCCCTTCATATTCACCCAGCAGCTCCGTGACGCCTGCCGCAGATGGCTGGTGCAGGATGACCGGACCATCGATCAGATCGTCGACGCTGTGGTACTGGAACAGTTCATCGCCCGCCTTCCGTCGCGAACATCGAAGTGGGTCCAGTGCCACTGACCAGACGATCTGGAAACGGCCATCCAGGAGGATCACCTGGTAGCGAGGTCGAAGTAACCTCTCTCTCTCTCTCCCCCTGTCCCTCATCTTTCTCTCTCTCCTCCTATCCCCAGGCCTAGATTGAGGGGACCGCCCATCCCGACTCCCAGGAGGCGAATCCCAGGCCCGGAGCCCCAGCGCAGCAATCAGTTGGTCCTGCTGGCCCCGGGGGTATGACGGGAAGGTCTAGGCTGGCATGTTGGCATTGCGGGGGGGCGGATCATGCACCAGAGAACTGCTCTGTGATGGAGGTGGGTGCATTGGTCCGCCTGCCCGATGTGCCAGCAGTCGCCCCCGGTCGCGACGGGCTATACCGGATACCTGTGAGTATAAAAGGGGGTACATATCAAGCTTTGGTAGATTCGGGGTGTAATCAGACCTCCAACTACCAAAGCTTGCTTCAAGACCCGGTGTGTACACGGGGATGTAATTCACTACCCGCTAACGGCAATAGACATTCAATTTCGGGGGAAAAAGCAGTAGAGCAGTAGAGGTAGCGGTTAACCCGCACCTCAAACACCCACTAATTCTGGGAACTAATTGGCCTGGATTTAATAGATTATTGGGAGTTTTATGTGCGGGTGCTTCTTGGAAGAAGAAATCGCTGGATAGGGGGCGTGTCGCTCGGCTGGGGGAATCCCAGGCAGTGAAATCACGCGCTGACTCAGGGGAAGGGCTGGGAATTTCCCAGTATAAAGACTTTCCCCTGGAACAGTCGCATAATGATACACTAAAACAAGCACTCGAAAGAGTGCAGGTTATTGACGGGAAATCCTCCAGCCTGATCGACCCCTCTCCTACCCGTATTTTGCGGTTATTAATGATAGGGTGTATCGAGTGACCCAAGACACTCAAAAAAAAAAAAAAAATACAACCCAGTTATTAGTACCAAAGAGCCGCCGGGAAATGCTTTTTCAGGCAGCTCATTCTAAACCTATGGCCGGACATTTAGGTCAGGCGGCCACACTAAATCGTCTCATGACCCGATTATTTTGGCCGGGCATTCACGTTGACGTCAGCAGATGGTGCACGGCGTGCCACCGGCCACCCCAAAAGCGTCGTTGGGCCCATTACCAATTATGGAGATCCCCTTCGAGAGAATTGGTATGGATCTCATCAGGCCATTAGAGCGATCCGCACGCGGGCACCGGTTTGCATTAGTTCTGGTGGATTATGCAACCCGATACCCGGAAGTAGTCGCGCTCCGTAACATCTCGGCAAAGAGCGTTGCTCCAAGGAGATTCTCACTGATCAAGGCACCGCGTTCATGTCACGCACAATGCGCGAGCTTTACGGATTATTGGGCATTAAATCTATTCGCACCAGCGTCTATCACCCTTAAACAGACGGGCTGGTGGAAAGATTTAATCGCACGCTTAAATCAATGATCCGTTAATTCGTTCACGAGGACATAAAAAATTGGGATAAGTGGTTGGAGCCTTTATTATTTGCTGTGCGGGAGGTTCCCCAAGCCTCCACGGGGTTTTCCCCCTTCGAGCTTCTCTACGGCAGACAGCCCAGAGGGGTTTTGGATGTCGTTAGAGAGGCTTGGGAGGACGAGCCTTCTAAAAGTAAAAGTGAAATTCAATATATCCTGGACCTAAGAGCAAAACTCCACACACTGGGGCGGCTCTCTAAAGAGAATTTGCTTAAGGCTCAGGATGACCAACGCCGGCGATATGATAAGGGCACTAAACTTCGTAAATTTTCACAGGGAGATAAAGTACTTGTACTGCTACCCACTTCCAGCTCTAAATTACTCGCCAAGTGACAAGGGCCGTTTGTGGTCACACGACGAGTCAGTGATCTCGATTACGAGGTGGTTCGTTCGGACAGGGCTGACTTGCGTCAGATTTATCACATTAATCTGGTTAAGCAGTGGAGGGAGCCGAAGGACGTGGCGATGGCTACGCTTGTTACTAACGAGGATGACCTGGGGCCGGAGAGCTCCGGCCGAGAACGGCCGAGCGCTCTGGTCACCGGGGGCGATCATCTCTCAGCGAGCCAGCACCTCGACATCCGGCACCTCCATTGTGAGTACTCTGACGTGTTTTCGCCCCTGCCCGGTCGTACTAACCTGATTCAGCACCATATCGAGACCGAACCGTGGTCATTAGGACCTGAACGTATCGCCTACCTGAACACAAGAAAAAAGTGATTTAGGAAGAATTGAGTAATATGTTGAAAATGGGAGTAGTAGAAGAATCCCACCGTGACTGGGCCAGCCCGATTGTCTTGGTACCTAAGACGGACGGCTCGGTCCGGTTCTGTGTGGATTATCGCAAGGTGAATGCTGTGTCGAAATTCGACGCTTATCCAATGCCGCGTATTGATGAGTTGCTCGACCGGTTAGGTGCCGCTCGATATTACTCGACATTGGATTTAACGAAGGGTTATTGGCAGATCCCCTTATCTCCAATATCCCGGGAAAAAAACAGCCTTCACTACGCCATTTGGATTGCACCAATTTGTGACGCTTCCGTTCGGGCTGTTCGGGGCGCCGGCGACGTTACAGCGCCTGATGGACAAAATACTCGGCCCTCACATAGCATATGCCGCTGCTTATTTAGACGACATCATCATTTACAGTAATGATTGGCAGCGGTATCTATGCAATAAGGTATCTGGGCTTCCACTTAGGTCACGGGCAGGTGCAGCCCCAAATTGATAAGACTGCAGCCATTGCAACCTGTCCGAGACCCAAGAC